ATAAACCTGCCAGAAGCTCACCAAGCTCTAATTTGGTTGGATATTAATAGGTAGACTGGGAAGTTAATGTGATATGATTGTGGCTAGAATAGAACCATCTGTTAAAAGTAGTGGTTTCTGTCCAATGTGATCTGGAACTGCAAATACACAGTAAGAATTAAGTTAGAATTATCTTAGAGTTGACATGGTGGAAAAAAAAAAACTATAACTTACTTATTTTCCCAGGGAATGTTAAGACCCAGCTAAGACGTTTCTGGCATGAATAAGTCTAAGGGTTATGTTCGCAAATTGGAAATATTTCCATTCACAATTTGATTGTTTGAGCAGTTATTAATAATAGTAGCAACGTACTTTCCAGATTCTTTATTTAACTTGGGTTATTAACTACAGTATCAGTTAATGAAAGAAGTGTTTTTTTGCCTTTGTTTCCTGAACAATTTTTTTTCTATGTAGAAATCTAAGATTAAGGTCATCACTGATTAGTCAATAATGATGCAGTTCTCAGAATTACTGAATTAAATGCATATATAAAAATATTCTTTAATTAAAAGCAAGGCTAGAGAGAGAGGGAATTATAAGTCAAGCCCACATTTAGAATCTGAAGACACTAATACTAAAGGCATTTGAAATGTGATTTGCATGTGTGGGTTGATGTGTTCCTACTGGGAATACGACTTGGGGATGTATTTTCTCCTCTCGGGAAGAGTTGCATGACTCAACTCTACATATTTTGGATTTCTGAGCAAATACTTAATGAGATAAGAAGCAGTATGCTATAGCATCCATCTGAAGTTGGCCTAATAGTCTTTGATATTTAAAAGAATAGTTTTCCTTCAGAAAATTAAAACATTTGCCCCTTGGAAATTTGAACTTCCTATTTTCTTAAAACAGTGTTATTTATGCTAACCTTAATTCACTGGGTCATAATAAGGATGCTTTAGGAAATGAAATGGAACAAAATAAGTTAAAAATAGAGTATGTCACAAATAGAAAGGATCAATAGTGTTTTGTAAAACTCATGTTTTAGTTGTGGGTACATATACATTCAAAACTGAAGTAAAATGTATTTCTCATTGAGTCATGATTTTAAAAAATTGAAAATTTTGAAGTGTTTTAAAATATACAATCAAAAGTCCCTGAAAAATAAAATAACTTTCCCTTTGTGCTACATGTCAAAATGATATCTAGATTAACAACTCTTGAAATGTTGTTTTGGACAGAAGCATCCTGGATTTCGAGGGAGTCGTGAGTCTGCCTGGACTTCACTAGGGATGGCAGAGGGGGGACACAGTTTTGGAGATGGACCTTTTGTCTGTTTGATTTTCTTCCTTTCCGAAGTAGGACAGACAGTGCTACTTGGCGTGCCTACATATTCACAAACATCTCAGTTAGATTTCAAGACTCGAGGTCAGAAGTTTTACCTTGTGCTTTCTTACCTTCTCACCCATGAAGTGTCTCCCACACACAATAGAATATGCTTACCATTACAGTTGGTAGTAATCAGAGCTCAAGTTTTCCCTAACATACTATTTGGCCACATTTACTCATATGTTTATATACTTATTCATATACTCTTTCCCACAAAGGATTTAGTGCAGCTTCTGATGTGAATACATAAGAAAATAATGGTTGAATTATAAATAAAAATTACTATAATATATTATAAGTATACACATTTTAGGGATGCCTAGGTAGCTCAGTCAGTTGAGCATCTGACTCTTGATTTTGGCTCAGGTCATGATCCCTGGGCCGTGGGATCTCTTCTTGGGATTGTCTCTGTCCCTCTCCCTCTGCCTCTCCCCTCCTCAAAATAAATAAGTAAATTTTACAAAAGTATATACACACTTTAAAAATAAACAAATACACACATTCAAGAATATTTGTATACACATATACACATACTCTTATATATCTTAAAGGTAAGTAAGGTCAGAGGGAAAAATGTGAATAATCAAGCAATAAGTTCCTTACTCTGAGGCTCATTCTTGTATCTGAACTCCCCAGTAGGCAAAGTAAAATGGAATACATATCAGTTACCAGTTTACTGTTAAAGAAGAGAGACACCTGCAGGAAAAGCAGAGGTTTCCTTATATACACTAGAGACATGACTAAAAGGCATCTCTCACATAAAGTTTCATGTAGGAGACAATCAGTGTCTGAAACTCAAAAATGTCCATACCATCACTCCTGAAGAATTGTGGTAATGGATTTTATTTTTATTATTTGTTACTTCTCCTCCATGGAGTCTGAAGTCTTTCTTAAAAATTTTGTTAATGTTTATTTATTTTTGAGAGGCAGAGAGAGAGCATGAGTGGGAGGGAGGGGCTGAGAGAGGGCAGACACAGAATCTGAAGCAGGCTCCAGTCTCTGAGCTGTCAGCACAGAACCCAACATGGGGCTTGAACTCACAAACCATGAGATCATGACCTGAGCCGAAGTTGCACACTTAACCAACTGAGCACCCAGGCACCCTGAGGCTGAAGACTTTCTGAAAAAACACAGCAAAAGTAAATCTGTAAAAAGACAGAAAATTATGATCCAGTAAGGTAATCTTTTGCCTATTCTAAAATATCACGCAGAACATGTAGAAGAAATCATTTAAACAGTCATCCCCAAATATCACCTATCTCAACCAGATTTTTAACTAAACTGCTTGACAGGGGGTCTAAGATTACATACACCCTCTGGCTAGGGCCTAGATAGATAGGCATTCAGGATTGTTGGTTGCAAACAAATCCATCTGAAAAAGTTATGATTAGGAGATCAGGTCGATATTCTTTGGTGAAAATTGCCAACTTCACCAGGGTTCCTGCCTGATGAACCATTCCACCTCCACACCAAGATGGGTTATTCTGTGACAAAATGTTTCCAAATCTTGAATCCAGAGTATCATCCCACAGCAATTTCAAAATGTGTGGGAATAATTTTTGCTGTACTTTGCTTTGTTTGTTTTTTCCCCATACCACTGCTAATCGCCAGCTTTCATTCACTCTAGGAGTCCCGCTCATATTCTGTTAGAGGGGCCAGGGGGTCTGTACTAGTCTTCAAACAAAAATTGACAAGTTATTTGGGAGTGAATTGGAAAGACAGAGCACCTAGTGTTTGGGGCACCAAACAATCATTAGAATGCTTGGGCACTTAGGAGTTATCTACTTCATATAGCAGTGGAAGAATCACTTCCCCAATTTGAAACTTCGCAGTAAACATTATCTGAAGGAGAGATGGATCACAGAGCTGGGGATATCTAGGGAGCCTCTGGATAGCTCCTGAGAGGAATCACTACAAGATGCCTGTGATTAAACACGGCAATGGGATTGAGGGGTTGGATGCATGGGGGCCTCAGATTAGGTTGAGGCAGCAAAAGAATGCCAAATACCTAGAAGAGAGGAGTAAAGGAAGGTTTATAGGAATTATCAGATAAATTTTACTCCTCATTTACTCTGACAAATGAGAGGTGGGGAGGGCAAGGAAAAGATGATGAAATAGAAGATTCTTGGGCTGGTTCTAGTAAACCTAAGGAGGTTTCATCTTCAGAAAAGCATAAAAATAACTGTCATTCAATTTAAAAAATATGGTTGCATATGAAAGCCCATTTAGAAGGAAACAGAAGTTGTGTAATTTAGGGGTGGTTAACAAGTGAGCATTTTTGAGAAATAAACTTTCTGGCCGTAATTCGTTTTGTAATAATCAGGGAGTTTTAGTTGCTAGCCACAAAACTAACTGGCTGTTTATAGCAGAAAAGAAATGTGTTGAAAAAGCATTGGGGAGGCCCAGAGAATCACAAGGAAGCCTGTAGAACCACGTTTAGGAAAAAGCTAGACACAGAGCCTAGATTCATGTCATGGGATCCATCTAGTAAGTAAGAGAAGGGCTGCTGGTGCCAGTAAGCCCTGGGCACCACAGCTGCATCCTTCCAGGAGACATCTTGCTGGCCCCACCTGCTCCTGGAGATTGGATGTAAAGTGCCGCTCCTGCTGCCCTCTCCAAAATGGCTTCTCCCCATTTCTGCTTCTTGACATCACCAGCTCAAGATTTGGGTGTGGAAGGCACAGGAAGGGGATGAGCTATTTCTAACTGGCTGAGCCTAAGTTATATGTTCTGGCTTAGTCCTTTGGGGCTGTATAACAGGAGTCCATAGACTGGGTAGCTTATAAACAACAGAAACTTCTTTCTCACACTTGTGGAGGCTGGAAGTCTGAGATCAAGGTGCAAGAGTGGTAAGGTTCTGGTGAGAACCCTCTCCTGGGTTGCAGACTGCTGTCTTCGCATTGTATCCTCAAGAGTGGTGAGAGGAAGCAAGCTCTCCTGTGACCCTTAAAAGGGTTCTAATCCCGTTCATGAGAACTCTACTCTCATGACCTCATCTAACCCTGATTACTTCCCAAAGGCCTTACCTGCTAACACCATCACTTTGAAGGATAGGGTTTCACCATATGAATTTTGGAGGGACATAAGCATTCAGTCCATAACAGGCTTTTTTAGTGAGGTGTGGACTTTACCTCCCACCGAGACTAGAAAGGTGCAAATTCTTCAGGGAGACCTAAGGCTCAGCTTCTGGGCACCTCTTTCCCACCCCACCCCCCCAAAACAGGCAACTGCCCACTAAACTTTTCTTTCAAACCTTCATATATTCTTGAGTTCTTGGATTGGTTCTTTAAATTTTCAGGGCACTCTAGAAAAGGCTATCTAATGAGTCTTAATTTTCTGTTCCAGTTTCCGTGCTGAAACTCAGAGCCATTGTATTTGGAGACCTAGTTAAGCCCTGTACATGACAACATTTTGCATGTTGAGTGTTAACATTTTAAGTATCAACATCAAATTTATTCTGTTGTTCGTGCTTATTAATTGAAAACAAATCTAAATTTTTAGGACTTTCCCATGTATATGCCCACTGCAGGCTCCCAGAGAAGCCCCGAAAATAATGATGATAGTGCAGAACTGGCCCTTGCAGGCCCCAGCTATGTAAGCACGTCCCTCTCTTCGCCAGGCACTGTGCTAACCTCTGAGTCCTTGCTACCGCTGCTGTTCTTCCAGAGAGCAGACCAGTCTTCTTTCTGTCTCCTGTTAATTGACAATGCCAGTTATAGAAAATTGTGCCAGACCACACTCCAGTGTGTCAGTTGTACAAGTGGGAAAATAGAAAGATTACCCAGCTAGTTGTGATTTAAAATCCTTATTCCTATATATGTATCTTAAAATGATACAAGGCTCTGAAAACGCAGAACAAGAACATAAATAACTTCTGTAAGGTTCTAAAATGTAGAGTTGGAATCAAAATAACTTTTAGAACCATTCCTGGGAGGATGCTCTCCCAAGACATTCTTTCCCAAATTTAGAAAATCAGGTTTATTTTTAATTTTGGTCTGCTTTTCAGTTATTCCAGCAAGATTTTCTTAAGGATTCTCCAGTGTCATTAGAAGCCACAAAGTATCTGCTGCAAAAAGCTAGATTTCATCTGCCTATCTTCAAAGATAAATCCAGGAAACTCCATGAGCTTAGTGTTTACACCGGCCCAAGTGAGGCTAAAAGATGTAAGGGTGATGGTGCATCTGGTAGTGATGATGCTGAACAAGTTCTGGAGATGGGTTGTTGTGTTACATTTTTATTAATAGCTGCACACCTTGAGATCTGATTCATTCCTATCCATGGGTCTTTGAGACCTTACGAATTTATCTAAATGCTCAGAACCATGCTAATATTTTTTCATTGTATCTCAGCATATTTTGTATTAAGAGAAAACAAGCACATAGATTTTTGACAAGCAAATACTGGCTCAACAATTGTAGCTTGTAGCTTCAAAGTTACTGCTTAATATAACAGTGAAGAAGCTAAAAATACTAAGGCAGTGGTTTCAGTCTTTCTCATGTATAATTTTACAGTTTCTTTAAGATTCAGGGAAGCTAAACTCTCATCATTTTGTCAGATTGAGAGTAACATTTATCATGAATCAAATCTTCCTAACATTTTCATCAGTAGCCTAAAAGAAAATGGTAGGTTTCATTTTATTTCCAAAGTGATTCTTGGATTTTCAGGTTGCACTGAAAAGTGAGATGGAGAGGATGAATTGGAGATGATCCATTATCACCAAAGCACAATCCAAAGGGGAAACTGAGAAGAAAAGCTCTATGTGAAGTTCTATTCCGTTGTTGCCCTTTCCCTAGACCTGCTACACTCCATTCCTCTTCCTTGGAAGGAAGTAAAGGAAGGAAGGTGAGGAGAAAGGGAAGTGGCCATAGTGTGATGGAACCAGCTTTGCTGACTTGAGTCAGCCAGTTTTGTGCATCTCTTCCCAAACTTACATTAAGTAATTTGTTGATACCTTAAAATCAGCCACGTTGGAAATATTTACACCATAGAAATTGATGAGGTATAAATGAGGGGCTCCCTTCCCCCATCCCCCTGTCAGAGTATGTTGCTAAGATATATTATTAGCATTCCACTGATAACCTGCTGTTGAAAGGAACATTGTGTATCACAGCCTTACCATTATTATCACTTCCTGATTATGACCTGTCAGTATAGGTAAAATTTCTAAAGACCTTGACTATAGTCTGCCTTATCCCAACCTTTGTGTAGTAAAGATGAAGAGTTGAAATAATGTGCTCTCTATTTAAGTTACTCATGATGCATTTGTTTCTTGTGCAATTTTACCTTCTTAGACTTCTCAATGCATTGTTAGTATTCTTTTCACGCTCCCCTTTCCTTTTTTTTTAACCCCTTCTCTATTATCCTTTCCTGATTACTTAGTCTTCTCAGTGTGACTCTGACATTTTATGAAGAAGTATTCGTATGCACACTGCCTGATTAGTATGATCCAGGCATCAAAAAGTATTATAGACTCAATTCAGCAAACACTAATTGAATATTTCCTCTGCCTAAGTCATTATGCCAGAGAAAATAAGACACAGTATGTAGTCCCAAGCAAAATAAAATCTAGGGAGAAAACCAGACATGTACACAACTAAGACTAATGTAAAGCACAATGTGAAAGTTGTATTAGAAAAAGTAAGGAAGAATGCAAGCTGGACCACAGAGACCAGAGGGTTATTTCTGACTGTAGCAATTAGAAATTAGAGAAGACTTCATGAAAATGGAGCCATCTCAACTAAGTCTTACAGAATTGGTATGCATATGAAAGTTCAACTCTATTTATAGTTTTTATGACTAGATGACTGTAAAGTTCCCATTAAAGTAGTTTGAGCTAATTCATATTGTTTACTAATCTGTCAAAATTAGCTTATCATGATGGGAGTTAGGGTAATTTTGCAAAAATAAGATTTTAGCATCATAAATCTATAGAATTGTTACTAGATTCACAGATGCCAGTGCAGAAGTTGCATTCTGCTCATCTTTGTACAATTTATGGTTTAATCTCAGGGCACTATTTATAAAAGGTCCTTAATGAAAACTTCCAAATAATATGTCAGGCACTTTTGTATATATGATATCATCAAAGACAAAAACGAGACAACAAGGAAATCAATTTTATTAAGGCTCTTGCCATAGGGAGAGCACCCCAGATCTGAAGACCAGAGTGTGTCTCTACAGAGTGGTTTCTCTTGTCTTTTATAAGAAGGACTAGACAGGTTACGGGTGGGAGGATTCACAGTTGAGATTTTGCAACCAGGGAAAATCTAACCTGGTTAGGTGAACAAGAAATGTTTATCTCTGTGTCTAGAGAATTTCAAAGGGAAAACAGTTCTTTTTTTTATTTTTTTTATTAATGTTTTATTTATTTTTGAGGGAGAGAGAGACAGACCGCCAGCAGGGGAGGGGAAGAGAGAGAGGGAGACACAGAATCTGAAGCAGATTCCAGGCTCTGAGCTGTGAGCACAGAGCCTAACACGGGGCTCAACCCACGAACTGTGAAATCATGACCTGAGCCGAAGTCAGACCCTTAACTGACTGTACCACCCAAGTGCCCCCAAAGGGAAAACAGTTCTAATTTTTGCTAATCATTCATGAGACACAGAACAGGAAGTTGAGTAGTCAGTATCTAAACCTAACAGTTACCCTGAAATATACTATTAGAATTTTTTAAATTTCTTTTTAAAAAATCAGAAACTGACAATCAGAGAAGTTGAGACACTTGCCAAGGCCACATAGCTAGTAAATAACAGAACTGGAATTTTATCCCATATCTTTCTGGCTCCAGTGTCTTTTTATTATGCCACAATATGTCACATCGTACTGACTGAATACTTAATAATAGTTTTTAAGGTTAATGGAACTTTGATTCATTTTTTATGTGTATATTTCATACACACTACCTAGTTTGGAGAGAATAACCTTCAAAGAACCAGGTCTAATATTTACAATTGGCGGAAATCTATTTACAGGCTGGTTTACAGTGAGCGTATACCTCCTTCTCTATAAATAAATCTATCTTTCAACTGAATGACTAGAGAAAAATTTAGAATTGAATCCTAGTGTCTTAATAGTAATTGTTCTTGCTACAAATCAATGTGGTATCGTGTTGCTATTTCATCTGTATTCTGTGGGGCTGTAGAGGTTTGCAGGAGATGCTTCCAGATCCTCACAGGGGTTCTTAGCAGAGTCAGGAGGACAGGACAGAAATCAGGCAAAACTTGGTTACCCAACTTCTGCCAGAACTTTTGGGGTACATGTTGAACATCACAGTAGAAAAGGGGTCACTAAAGAAGGTAGTAAAAGAGTGAAAACCATTCACCTAATAGAAGAAATCATTTAGGTAAACCAAATGCTGAGTATGTTTTGCTCCTGGAAGCCTGTGAGTCCCTGAGTTTATTGGCTGTTGCCAGCTTTGTGGGGACCCTTGCTGTGCTTTTGATATTCACAGCAATGCAATGCTGAGATGCACCTGAAAAGTTCACCTACACGGCAGGGGGATCTAACCTGGTTGGCCTGAATCATTTGGCATCTCTTCCACACTCAAATTACTGTGGTAATTATAGGTATGAGGTGATAATTTGTGGTTCAGTTTTGTTCTGGGGTCCAGTCATCCAGTTCTTTTTTTTTTTTAATTATGTTTTACTTTTATAATATTGTGTTAGTAAACACCCCAGGCACTCTTTCACAGCAGTTGTGTGATACATTCTCTGAGCTTTGAAGCAAAAATTTAGTGTAAAACAAAACCCTCCACCCTTCTGGCTGGGCTACTTTCCTAAGCATGGTAACTGTGTCTACTCTAAGTGGAAGGGAAGAATAAGCAGGTTACAATTAGCATCTGGGGGCTGCTGAAGGCAAGGTATGTAGGGGTGCTTTGTCATTGCTGGCCCTGGGAGTGTAGACTTTTTATGGGCAAGAAAACCAAGTCCAGTGCTTTCCTGCTTCTCCTTGGTCTCTTATTCAGGAATAACATGGCTGTGCCTGCCCCCCGCCCCCCCCCCCACAATTCCCATGCCCAGAGAAGCTCAGGCAATGAAAGGAGATACTATCAGTTTTTATTCCCTGTATCTCCCGGTTTTAGGGGAAGAGTGCCATGGTCAGAAGAAGATAGCAAAATTAAAAGTAATAAGACAAATCAGCCAGAAGATACTAGAAAATAATAGCAAATGAATTGAACTGGGGCACCTGGGTGGCTCAGTCAGTTGAGCATCCGACTTCAGCTCAGGTCATGATCTCATGGTTTGTGGGTTCGAGCCCTGCATTGGGCTCTATGCTGGCAGCTCAGAGCCTGGAGCCTGCATTTGATTCCCTCTCTCTGTGCCCCTCCCCTGCTCATTCTCTCTCTCTCTCTCTCTCTCTCTCTCTCTCTCTCTCTTTCTCCCATCTACCCCTCTCCCCCTCTCAAAAAACAAAACAAAACACAAAAACAAAAATCTATCATCATCAGTAAACTGGTGGTGAGTCTTTTAAGGCAAGAGTTAAACATTTCTTTGATTCTTCATGATAAGTTTCTCTGAAATTTAGTAAGCATGAGAGTGGTCACTTCCTCAGGCTGGAATTGGCAAATCTGAGTACTATCTGAGTACTCAGTGTGTAGGAGGAAGAAAAGAAAGAGACAGAAAAGTGTGACTGGAGGGTTCCTAGCATAGCTAGTACTAACTCTCCTCCCCTTCTAGGGGGACTGAGTTCTCAAG